TTTGTGTCATGTCTAGTAAAATTTGATGTTTGGCCTAGTTAATTTTTAAGGAAATTACACCCACACCTAAAAATAGATTTTCAATTTCACAAACTCAATCACAAATTCAACATTTCAAAAATCAGGTTTTAATTAATAATTTAAAAACATTTTTTTTATATCTATATACAATAAAAAAAATTGACCCCAACCAAACCCTAATCATTCCAACCAATTCCTCCCCCACCTACACACACACACACTCTCTCTCTCTCTCTTACCAGCCCCGGTCAATTCTTCTTCTCTACTCCCTCTCTTGCCGCCGCAGCCACCGCCCACAGAAGTGGGGACTCCTTCCACTCAACTCCCTTTCTCGTTTCACTCTCTCTCGTCTTCTTCCACTCCTTAGCCGCCTTTCTGTCTTCTTCCCTCTCTGTCTCTTCTCTCTATCTCCACCCCGGCCGTCGCTACTTACTCCGACGTCTGTAATTTCATGCGGTTGGCGTTAGGAGGTGAGGATTGTCGACGAGCCAGCCTTCCTTGCGGTTGGGGTGTGGAGGTGCAAACTGTCAACGGGTCTCAAATCTTTTTTTTTTTTTGTGGTACAGTGCGGTGGCGATGGAGTGTTGGGTGCGGCTGCGATCTAATCCGGTGGTTGGGTGAGTGCCAATGGTGTGGATCCAGTGGTCTCTGTCGTTGCAGATCCAATGTTGGATGTTGGTTGTCGTCTTTTCTGGCGTTGTAGATCCAGTGTTGGCTGTGGTTCCGGTGTTTTGGCAGTGGTTAGGTGTGTGTTTGTGCGGCGGTGGTGATTGTGTGGTTTGAGTGTGTTTCTTGTTGCGTGCGGTGGTTCATTTCTGTGCGATGGTTGTGCTGTTTTTGGTGCGACCGTTGCGGTGTTGCTATGTGATGGTTGGATGTGCGGCTTGTAGTGGGTGTGGTCGTGCTACGCGCAATGGTGGTGAAAATGTGTCGACGATGGTGGCGCCACTGCCTCAGTTGTGGTCACAGATGATTTGGTGATAGTCAAAAATGATTTGATTGTTTGTGACCAATAACTTGGTCGGTTTATGACCAATAAACAATTTGTGACCAATGAATTCGATAAACTGTGACTAGTACAAGCCGTGTGACCTAAAAATTACTAATTTGTGACCAATAAATTGATGTTTGTGACCATAAAATAAGTAACATAACTTTTAAATTTTGTGATTGTGACCGATGAACCAATTGTGACTTTTAAATTTTTAAATTGTGACCTATGAAAATATTGAATTGTGACCTAAAAAGTGGCGGAACGGTCATTGGAATACTTGTCGGAATCGGAGCAGTCGCCGAATAGTCGTCCGAACGGTCGCCGGAACAGTCGCGCGGACAAGAGTGGTGATCGGAAAGTCGGTTGGGGTGGTGGGGGTGGGGTGGGGTGGGGTGGGGTAATTATATTAAATTAGAATTAAATATTTAATAATAAATTGATTTAGTAATTCATTAATTATTAATTAAAAATTAAAAAAACATGATTTGTGAATTTTCAAACTTGTTTTTGTATTTTTGAAAATGTGTAAAGTAAATACCTTATAAATGTATTGTTCCCTTAATTTTTAGCCCCAGTACTCAATCAAAACAAAAAAATTGACAATAAAATTGCTCAATTTATGAAAGCACTAGGGGAAAACTGAAAAAAGTTGTTACATTTTTAGTATAATATGTTATCTTTTGAAAAATAAAAAATAAAAAATTTGTAGTTTAACTTTGCACTCATTTGATCGTGCTCGTGGCTCCGCCACTGCCAGTGGTCTTACCAAAATATGGGGTCATAGGCTACTGCTTAAGTTGAATTCTGCTAGGTGTACATAAACTATACACCACAGAAACACACTAGACCACACACAAGTAAGTGGGGTCCGTCATTTTTTGCAATATTTAAATATACTGTGGGGCCCACTGTTTTAGTCTATTCTAACCAATTTTTGGTGCTTCTTCTTCTGTACAAATGAGAAAAGCCACTTAAGTTATCTAAAGATTAAGGGATTGTTCGAGTCCCATTTTTTGAAAAATGGATTTTGTTATATCGATTTTTGGAGAATCTATTGTTAGAAAGTAGGAAATATTTTTGAATTTATATATATAATTATTTTAATGAAAGAATGTATACTTGAAAATAAATTTGAGCAACGATGAGTGTTTTAAATAATTGAACAGGGACTCAACTGTTTCTAACTTCATCTATTTGATGGCCATTAAATTAAGGAAAAATGATATTTTTAATAGTGACATTTCGAAGAATGTGTGGTTAAAAAATAAAAATAAAAATTGAATTTATACGTAGAATATTTTATTGTGTGAATGTATAATTGAAATTAAGTATGAGAAATAGGGTTTTATTTTTCCCCAAATTCTATTTCTAATGCCCATCAAATAAGTACTTAATTTAAAGAGGCTGAAACATGGATTTAATTTATCTTTAAATGGTGTCACATCTTCTAGTCATTCTTATTTACGTCCTTTTCTTTTTATCTATTTTATTTATTGTCACGCGGTCCAGCTTGCAACGCAATGAAGCTCTCGAGCCTAATAATTATTACAAGAAGAGTAGGAGACCTTTCAATCGTGGCTCACGTTGATTTCAAGTAGGGTACAAAATGAATAGCCACTTCAATTATTTATAACAAGTTGAGGAAGTAACCATCAAATGAATAGAAAAGAACACGATTCTTTTTGGTAGATGAAACTATGGTCACATGGGATTTAGTAGTTGAAAACTCAACTCATAATACTTCTTTTTTTTTTTTTTAAATACAATAAATAATTATCGTAAAAGATTCGTTCATTCTTCTGATAATATCTGTAAAATATGTTAGTCAAGAAAACACACCCTTTAAGCTACTTAAAAAATTTTTTATTCAAAGTTTTTTCTATGTTTCCGTTTATTTGAAGGCTCCTTTAAAACTTATTCCAAAGCCGAAACACAAAATTATAAAAAATCTTTGGATACTATTAGAGAAAAAAATAAGCTAGATTTATATTATTTATACTGTTCCATAATATTTAAGGATTATATGCTATATGTACATTTTTAGATGACATCATTGTTGACGTTTTGTGTGTTATCAAAATCTGTGTCATTTATTATTTTAAGTGTTATTAAAACCCAAGGGTAAAAATGTTGGTCACCTTACACAATGTCGATCAGACTGTCAACCAAAGTGTATCTGTAGCAAAATTGAATATTTAATTTTTCATAAAAATATTTACTCAAATTTAAGATGGGGTCAAATAATTGAATATTTACTCAACATTCATAGAGCATATTATCATTTTCTAGTCGAGAAGAAGATGGAAAATAAATTTTCATTTCTAGGGGCCAAAATCATATGATGCTTCATTCGGAGAAGATTGCCAAAAAATGTGTGAAAAAAAAAAATAAAAAGACACTATTAGACATGGTCGAGAGCAACCAAACCTATTAATATCAAAATATTAACTAATGTAAATGCTTGAGTTAGTTTTCTTGACAAGATTGACCTCTTAAAATAAAACACAAACCTCTAAATACTATATTAAAAGACACATTGAACTTCAAGCAATTTGATGTAAGACTCAAAGAAAAGCATTAATTAGTCAATTAATGGTTGTAGTCGCACTATAATTTTTATTTATGCATCCCACTTTCATTATATTTCAAGTTCTCAACCTTTGTTCAGTGTCTCACTTATGTCTCTAACTTTTATTTTGTTAAATTTTATCTTTAACGTTTCAATTAATTAGTTCATATTATCTTTGATGATGATTTTTGTCACGATATTCTCTTTGTGTTTTTTGAAAAGAGAGGAAAATATTCTCTCTTTCATATTTGCTGTTTTTTTTTTTAAAAAAATATAGTGGAAAAATGAGCTACTTTATGCTTGCCCAACGGACTTTTTAGATGGAAATCATTATTAGAGATAAGATGTGATAATCAATGAAATATTGAGGGTAGAAATGCAATGAAAAACATTGGAATCGTAAGTGCTAACATGAGCGACGATTGATGATCTTAAGTGTAATTAAAATATGATACAACATATAAAAGTTTTGGTGTGAATTGACAAGTATCTAGGTCCTAAAACAATGTTTAATTAAAATTAATTAAGAAAAGTTCTACTCACTTTGCATTGTATATGATTTTTATAGGTTTAACTTCCAATTCGAAGATGATTATTGCAAAAGGAAAGAAATTGGGATGCGAAATGATCAAAAGATGTAAAACAAAGAACCTACATGAGGAGTATGTTAAGGGAATTAGAGTATAAAGTTTGGTACAAGATTACCACGAGACGTGATATATCATTAGAAAGATAATTGAAGTTGAAGTTTAATGCAAAAAATGGATTTCAATATAGATTTGTGGATTGAAAGTTATATGCATTCAAAGTCCAGGAACCAAAACCACAAATATCAAAAGATTAAGGATCAAAGAGCACAAAACTGAAAAATGAGGATTGCAGCTACAGTAAGGAAAACTTGGGTCGCAGCTGGAACGGCTTCAAGGGACAATACCCCTTAATTTTCGTGGGTGATCGCAACAATGCAAATGGCGACCGTGGCTAGACCCGGCTGATGACGGGATTATGATTTTGTAAGTTGAAGCTCAGGGTACCGTGAGTATTTCGTTGGTACGACTTTCAAAGCATATCAAAGGTTTTTCGTTGATCGGACTTTCAAGGCATACCAATTGTCATTATAAATTAATTAATTATAAACATGCAATTAAGGTTTAAAGTCGATTAACAAGGATAAATTCGAAATCATAATGCCAAGATTTATTTTCTTTTTAATTGATTATTTTTGTGAAGAATTAGATAAGTAAGCCAAAACAGAGTTTTATAGTCACCATACCTTTGTCAAATAATAGTCAATTGCGTAAATCCTACGTCTGTCCAACGAGAATTCTATAATCAGTTATTCCACAAGAGAATGTGGACATTTTCACCTCCACCCGGACGACCACAACCACAGTTGCGATAGAGAAAGTGGTGGAGATGGGCGGAAGTCTGTGGCCATGGCTCGACGCCTCACGGCCTTTTCTGGGCATGGTGTTAGCAGTAACAGCGTTAGCCACCAACATGATAATAAGCAAAATGGCCATGTCTACTGGCACCAGCTTCTTCATTTTATCTCTTTACTCAAATGCTTTGGCCACTCTCATTGTATTCCCTTGTGCCTTCTTCTTTCAAAGGTAGGTACCATTTTTGTACTTCTTAATAGAGAAATTATCTGAATTATTGGTTGATTTGGTATTTTTCAGGTCAAAGCGACTCCCAATGACGTTTCGTGTACTATGGAGAATCTTCTTGCTTGCTATATTCGGGTAGGTGATAGCTTTGTTATTAGATTTATATGTTGGGGATTTAATGAAAATACGTTGTGGGCTTGTATCGTGCTTACTATCTTTTGATAGAAAGGATCAATCTCTGATATGAAAACTATTGGGAAATTGTTATAGGGCGGGATGCTATGATCAACAAGATTTTAATTATTTTTGATCTTTTATATTATCCATACCAAATTCCAAGTGTCATAAAAGGATAAAGATCCATCTGTGGCTGTTTGCAGTTTACAGCAGCCACCATCACGGTGGCAATTTTCCATCCCCTTCACCAACCCCTTTATTGATTACTGGGACGGCCAACAGCTTTGTATGTTATACTTTTTTTTTCCTTTTCTGAGAGAAAAAAATTATTTAGAATTAGCATTGAGGGCTGTGATTTCAATGTTACTTTTTCTATTTTTTTATGCAGGAACAGCATTATATAAGTAGCTCGAGTTCAAAAAATTTAACAAAGGTTGTTTTGGGATTTGTCACTTTTTTGTACAAAGTAAAGTACTTGGTAACTTATAATCAAGATTCCAAATCCCTATGAAGGTCTATCTATGGATCATTTTGTACGTGCTTTAGAGAGTTCAAGTAACAATGATCTTTTGAGTCTCTGCTTGATTCTTTAGCAGTAGAGTGACTTTATTGAGTTTGTTTGATTTTCGTTCCAGATATTTAGCAGAGATTGGCAGTTATGCTGGCATAAACTATAGCTCTCCAACACTAAGTACAGCTATGTTGAATCTTGTTCCAGCATTTACTTACATACTTGCTGTCATTTTCAGGTTAGACCTTCCTTTGATTCTTTTGTCATTCAAGTTGAGTAGGAAAGGAAATTTGGTTCACTAGCTGCTTTCATTTAGTTTTCAGTAAGAAATACAGAAAGAAAACGGTCTATACATACATACATATATATATATATACAGAAATGATCTAATGAGCACCGGTGCTCATCTTATTCTAAACACCGATGAGTTGACACATTAATTCATTGGTGGATTGGAACTTTTCATATTGACTATTTTTCATTTGTTATATTAAAACTTACCGCCTATGTTAGGTAGGGAAAATATTCAACATGCCAAGGAGAAGATTTATTATGTTTTCACCTCTATAAGTTCTTGGATCTTGTCTTTAATTTCGCTGATTATTGCAAAGCAGGCTACAAAAAATATATGCATGATTGAACTTGATATATACGGATTTTGCCCTATTTCATCGCAGTTAATGAATCTGTGTTTTTTTCACAAGAGTGCTATTCTATTCAATTCAACTTTATTCGATATATTTCCGAGGTGAATCAAACTATCTTTATTGCACTCTTGGGAGGAACTCGAGAGGAATAAANAAAAAACTTTTGAGGAACTCGAGAGGAATAAATAAAGAACCTACAAAATGGTCTTATTCAAGAATTATGTGAAAATGCATTTCTTGAAATAATATTAACTCTATTGTAAACTCACAACAGAATTTTGATGGTTTCATTATTGCATTTCTTGAAATATCCAGATGTTTTCATGATTATGTTGTACATACGTTTTTCCTATTTAGCCTATATTGATTATAAAATAGTCTGTTTTAGGATGGAAGTAGTAAATTGGGGAAGATTTAGTACGATATCCAAGTCCATCGGGACTGTAGTTTCCATTGCGGGGGCATCTGTTGTGACTTTTTATAAGGGACCGGCAATCCTAAATAAACCGCTAACATCTGGCTCGACTATGCAACTGCTTTTGTCATCACAACAAAATTGGGTTATGGGAGGGATTTTGCTTGCTGGTGCCTCTTTCCTGACTGCATCATGGTGCATACTGCAGGTTTGACTTTGGATAAAATTTTATCTTTGATTATAATAAGATGATGCAACTCTCATTTCCCCATTTAACAATGGTTGCAGGCTTCTATACTGAAGATGTACCCTGCAGAGATGATGATAGTTGCTTTTTACTGCTTGTTTGTGACGATTCAATCGGCAGCAGTTTCTTTGATTGCAGAAAGAGACATAACTGCTTGGAGAATAGAAGCCAATATGGGATTTGTCGCTATCTTTTATTCGGTAAGCCAATAATAACAGTCTACAACTTTGTACAGACCCGTGCTAATGTCCTTTTTTACCACGAAACTCGATAGTCTAAACAGGAAAACTTGCAACTGTGGTCCCTGAACTGTCTCAAATAGAGAAACACGAGTTCTGAATCAGATTTTTTTGGCATTTAGATTTCTAATCTCTGAAATTTGGTGACTTGCAAGTCCCGCTGTATTGAAACTGCCAATTTTTTTTTCCATCAAACAGTCACTTTCCTTGCATGTGATCTCTTTTTTGAGGTGGTGTTTTGTGAACCCATGTCAATTTCCCTCTGAAAACAACTAAAAAACTCAATCTCTTTTGGCTTTTTCCCTTTGCATCTCCCTTTACTTTTGCTGTTTCTCAAGGGAAATGGACGTAGTTTAATGAAACTACCCATCGAAAAAAGAGATCATGCTAGACGTGACTATTTAACAAAAACATTGTTTTCATCCAGTGAGAACCCACTTGCATTTAAAATGAAGTTTGGAAACATAAAGGCCTAATAAATTGATTGGGAGCCCATGTGCTTTATTTCGGAAAGTTTGGAGAACCTTTAATTTGCAAATTTCCATCTACATTGGCAGTACATGTAATCTGGACTGAATTGTGCATCATTGCAATTATACTTGCAGCTATATCTTGATTAAGGTTGGATTACTCGTGCTAACTCCACTTTACTTTTGCGATAAACTCACACATTTTTATCGATATAGGCAATCATTAACATAGCATTCCGACTCTATGTGACCGCATGGTGTTTGTGGAGGACAGGTCCCCTTTTCGTTGCCTTGTTTAAGCCCTTGACAATTGTTATTGCTGTAGTCATTGGTGTCATCTTTTTCAAAGACACTCTCTATCTCGGAAGGTATTTCATGTGCTTCGATTCATCATATTCACGTGAAGCTATACTTCAGATCTTCTAATGAATCATTGGCTTGAATTATCTTGCAGCATAGCTGGGGCAATCGTTTTAATTATAGGTTTCTATATGGTGATGTGGGGAAAAGCTAAAGAAGGTGAGATGAACAAGGGCACAGAATCATCAAGCAATACTTCTCCTTTGTTGCAAGACAAACCAGCAGAAGTGTAAAATCATTTGTCAATACATCTGTAAATCTGATAAAAAGGAAAGGGAACAGCTCAAGTAAAATTCTATTGGTTAGTTGAGGGATTCCTTTTGTGGTTATTGGTTTCTCTAGTAGAAGATGTGTCTTCATGGAAGACACTGTTTCACCATTTTTAACTTCTCAATAAAATCACATGTAAGTTTATTCGTTTTACATTTGTACATTGAAGTTCATATTTATAAAAAAAATTATGAATCATCTAAAGGCTGATTAGCTATTCTTATTATTAGTGAACATGATTGTGGTAATTGATATGTTCTGCTAGATTGGTTTTGTACACACAAACATGTAAAACATGTCTAGGTAAAGTATATAATTGCAAATTATGCCCCTGTTTTATTAAGCTAAAAATCTGAATTAAAATCTAAATCAAAACTAATAATTAATTTTAATTATACATTTCATTCGACTCATAATTTTTCAACCATACATTTTATCAACTTTTATCAAAATTTACTAAATTTCTATTTCTTATCTAAACCAAATGTGGATTATATCAAATCTTAAATTTGGCATCATTACGATTAATGATTGTGTATTTCGGAATCTATAATATGCATTTAGCTTTATTATGAATTGATTTCAAGATAATGTCAATAATGAAATAAACAAGCATAAAATAAGAACACTAAGATTTATGTGGGAACCCAAGATGAGAAAAAATAACAGGCAAAGGGGGAGAATTTCACTATAATCAATAATGAATGTGTTTACAATATTAAGATTTCTATACTCTCAATTGAAATCTAAGCTATTTAACTCTCAAAATGTTATCGAATGTGTAAGTGGAGATATAACAATATGGAATATATATATATATATATAAGCCTCTTTTGGAGTTCTAAATAAAGAAGAATACATCAAATTTGTAAAAATCGGATTTTTCCTGTCAAGGTGGTGCCTTGGCATTGCGGCACCAAGCACCGACGCTCGGGGCTAACATTGAAACAGGGGGCGTCCGTGTCCCTTGTTTCCTTCTTTCTTAAGGGCGATGTGGTGCCACGACGGTAGAGTCACTTTTCAAATCAAACTTTCAATTATTGATGAAATTTGATCTATATCAATTTGGACTCCTAGAGCTAAAATCCCTTAAGACTTTTTTTATTCAACCAAAAACCAAATCATACGAATTTGGGTTACATCATAAGAAATCTCCACCTTGAACCAAATTCCAACAAAGGGAACACATTTACAAGTAAACATCATTCCACTTTTGCCAAACAAGCTCCAACGTGCTAAATCAATGACAAACACCAACTAAGTTCAAGTAATGCTCAAACTTAGTGATGTGATGTGGTTTTGTCATCATATCAGCAGGATTATCCTTGGTATCAACATTGCTCACTACAATATCACCATGAGCAATCACATCACGCACAAAATGATACACACATCAATGTGTTCAATTCTCTCGTGAAACATCTGATACTTAGTTAAGAAAATAACACTCTAACTATTACTATATACTGTAAAAATCTGCAAGTCTTCACTGATTTCACTAATCAATCATCTCAGCCACATAACCTCCTTACATACCTCTGTAATGTCCATGTACTCTGCCTCTATTCTAGGCAAAGCTACAATATTCTGCAAAGTAGCTTTTCAGTTGATAGCACAGCCTCTAAGGGTAAACAAACATATACCCCATAAGTGACCTCTTATCAAGATTTCATGTATGATCTGAATTCACATACCACTCCATTTGTATTTCTATGAAAATATCCAAATATCCACATATCCACCGCACTGCTTTTCCAATGTTCATTGCCAGGATTTGCCATGTATCTACTATTACACTGACTGTATGTGCCGAATCTAGTTTTGTACTAACCATAGCATACATAAGCAAACCGAATGTATTGGAATAATGAACTTGAGACATTTAATCAATATCTTCATCTGACTGAGAACGCAAATCATATGATAATTTAAAGTGGTCAGCCAAAGGAGTACGACTCTTAGCATTCAGCATATTGAACTTTTGAATGTATCCTTTCTGAATCAAATACAATCTGTCAGCCTTCTTATCTCTCAAGACTTCCATACCATAAATCTTCCTTACTGTACCAAAATATTTCATATCAAACTCTTTACTAAGTTAAGAATTCACCTTCGTGACCTCTGCTTTATCCTTGGTTGATATGAGCATATCATCACCATATAATAATAAATATGTGATCGATCCACTATCTCCCTTTTTGAGGTACACACAACTATCATAATTACTTCTAATGAAACTTTGAGTAATCATAAATGAATCGAACCTTTATACCACAGCCTCAGTGATTGCTTCAATCCATACAAGGTTTTCTTCAACTAACACACATATTTTTCCTTTTCAAAAATTGTGAAACCCTCTGATTGTTGCATGTAAATGCTCTCATCGAGTTTTTCATATAAGAATGCTATTTTGACATCCATATGCTCAAGTTCCAAATCATTTTTAACAAACACTCCTAGTAAAGCTCGAATAGAACTATGATTTGCAACAGGTGAAAACACATCTATGAAGTCAACACCTAGAATCTGACCGTGGCCCTTTGCTACCAATTTGACCTTATGCCTTGTATCTTCAATCCCTGATGTGCATTCATTTCTTTTGAACACCAAATTATAACGAACAACATTTTTATCCTTAGGTAATTTCACAAAGTCTCAAGTATTATTTTTATTCAATTACCACGTCTCCTCCTGCATAACGATCAACCAACTGCTAGAATCACTACAACTGACTGCCTCTGAATATGTAGCCAGCTCCTCAGTGGAATCAATACTGTCAACCACACTCAATGCATTAGTCTACTTTTCCATACTTCTATGGATGTTTAATCTGCTTACGAGGTCCATCCTTAACAATTGAATACTGTAGTGTTACTGGTGGTGTAGGCAAAGTACACAAAGTATTACTGTCGTCAGCTTTGAACTAGGCTGATCTATAATAGAATGCTTTGAAACCTCTGATTGTTCCTCTAGACCAATTTTCAACTCCCTTGAGTTGAATGATTATGTTTCTCAGTTTTATCAGAATCTCCACGAGGTGAACCATGAATTTATCAAGTTCATCAAAATATCACATCTCTACTAACCATCACTTTTCTTATCTCAGAACACCAAAATTTATACCCTTTCACACCTGACTTATACCCAAGAAAGATACATTTTCTAAACCTATGTGCTAACTTCTCATTATCCACATGAACATAAGTAGAACACCAAAAAATTTTCAAATTAGAATAAAAAGAAAGTTTACAAACCATACCTCCTCTGATATCTTTTTCTCAATGGTATTTGAAGGTGAGCGATTAATCAAAAAATAAGTTTTAGTAGCAGCTTCAACCCAAAAAAGTCTTTGGCAACCCAGAGTTTGAAAACATACGACGAACATTTTCTATCAAAGTCTATTCATCCGATCTGTCGTACCATTCTGTTGAGGAGTTCCAAGCACTATCAAGTTTTTCAAGACGCCGTCCCTCTGCAGAAACTACTGAATTCATCTGAACAAAACCCCATCTCATTTCTAATGCGTAGATGTTTCACCTACTTTCCAATCTGCTTTTCTATCATTGTTTTCTACTCATTGAAGGTCACAAATACATCACTCTTCTGTTTCAGGAAGAATACCCAAACTTTCCTGAAGACGTCATCAATCACTGTCAACAAGTAATAAACACCTCATTTTAAAGGCATCATGGCAGTTCCTTAAAAATCTAAATGGATATACTCAAGTGTTCCATTCGTACTGTATCTTTTTTTAGTGAATCTAATTCTTTTCTATTTCCCAAATAAACAATGATCACAAAATTTCATCTTATTGGTCTTCTGCCCATCAAGAAGCTCCCTTCCACTCAACTCTGTCATTACATTCTCACTTATATACGTGAACCGCACATGTCAAAGTTTTATAATTTCTTCATATGTCAAAGAAGAAGTAGAAACTATTACTTCCCTTATTACTGTGGAACCCTACAAAATGTATAATCGTGTAGAGCTTTTATGTCCCTTTTTGAGAATAAGAGCACCCCGACTCACCTTTAAAACTCCACCTTAACTAGTGTATCTATAACCCTTTGAGTCAAGTGTACTTAAAGATAGAAAATTTCGCTTCAGTTTTGGAACGTGCCTTACATCTATAAGTGTTCTAATGGCCCTCATTGAATATTCTAATCCTTAATATACCGACTATGACAATTTTGCAAAGTGCTTTGTTTTCCATAATCACAACATCTCTCGAAAACTCCTTCATATGTTGTGAATCAGTCCCTGTTGGGACACATGGAAAGAACCCATTCCTTACAAGGTTTGGAACTCTGGTCAGAAATTACAAGAAACTCTCCTTCACTTTTCCTATCTTCCACAACATTAGCTTCCACCGTGTTTACAGGTTGATTTCTTTTATCAGTAGCATAAAAAACCTTGTTTCTATTTTTCAATGCATAGCAATCAGCTCTAATGTGCCCATTCTTCTTGCAAGTCTGGATTTCGATTTGCCCCTCATATTTCTACCAAGATTCATATCTTGATTTTTCCCATGAACAACCGGCCTTCAGCGTGACTCCCAAATCCTTTAGCAAGATGTCTCATCTTCTCCTTAGATAGTAAAGCATCATACACCTCTTTTACAGAAAGAGTATCCCGACTATAGAAAATAGTATCTCTAAAACTCACATATGATGGTGGCAACGAATACAACAATATCAATGCTAAGTCCTCCTCATCATACTTAACTTTCAATATCCCCAAATCGACCACGATTTATTTGAACATAATTTAGTGATCATCCAATGACATACCTTCGGACATCCGACGAGAATACAAATGTTGTTTGAAGTTTAACTTGTTGGTCAAACTCTTTTTCATACAAAGTTGCTCCAACTTCAACCACAACGCAACGAGACTTGTCTCCTTTAGAACATCCTGAAAATTTTGATTTGAAGCATATAGATGAATTTGAGATTGGACTTTT